ATATTTTTTTTTTAACGTCGTAAACATGATTTTTGGTCATTTGATGTTTTCTTTGCCAGTAGTTTAACTCCAAATAATGTCAGCAATTGTTTTAATTGCTTTTAAAGGGTTTAGCTGTTTTACGTCCTTCCGGGGAATGCTACGTTTTTCAAAAAGCATTCTTTCGAAAGGCTGTTGTTGTTTTCTTCCTCCGCCTTAGAATGAGCTTGGGGTCAAAAGCAGCCATCACCTTTATTTCAACAACTTCGGGGTCTTCAAAAGCAAACACCTGTTTTCCTTTCACTTGAATGGACTTTTTCCAGAGATTCCGGTTTTTCCATTCTGTCTCATCTAAAGGACGGATTACAGCCGACCGGATCAGATGGGACCTACAGTCAGTCCTGCTAAGTAACTAAGATGGCCAAAGACCAGGATGAACAACTGTGCGCTCTTTATAAATAGCTCTTCAGAAAGAATACAATCCGTATATTTGTAAAATGTCATTAGCAACACTTTATGATTAGGAGAAAAATCTGAGTTTGGATTGAAGCTGTTGCTAATAAGAAATTGTGAACATATTTTTAAGCTGCTGTATTTTTACTCTTTTTTTCCTTTATGTTTAGGAAGAAAGAGACTGTAACTTTAGCTTTATGTGGACCAATATTAAACAGCAGCCAGATACACATGGTTATTTAAGGATTGAAATTCACTAAGTGACACCAACTTAGAAAAATTCTATAAACAGCAAGTGAAGCTTTTTGGTCCCATGGAACAAAGTGATATATTGTAGAGTAAGAAAATAGAAGTATAAAAAGGATTACAAAATATTTGTTCCTTGATATCCTTCTTTATTGAACAAAGTAAATTTGTCAAATTGAAGGGCTCAGTTTTACTGGAAATCTCTTCTTGTATATTCCTATTTAGACATGGACACAAGTTTTTCTCTTTTTAAATGTGTTGACACTCCAAACTGCTTTTGGCACATAGATGCTACCCTCAAAAACACAGGAGAATCTTTCCACTTTCCTTGTTTCTTTAGAAATGTGATTCTAAACTTCTTGTGTATGTATAAACTTCTGTGTATACGTATTTATGTGTCTGTGCCTGGACCTCTTGATGGGGAGGCGATAAACAGCATGGGTTTAAGAAATGGGCTCTGAAACTGGATTGCATAAGCTCAAATCCCAGGTCTGTCATTCGCTGGCTATATGATTTGGATAAGTAATTAGTCCTGTGACTCAATTTCCTTATCTGCATAATAAGGATAATAATCTTAGAGGTTTCTTACCAGGAACAAATGAGTCAATGTACATAAAGGTCATAGAATATTGCTTGCCTGATATTGAATCCCCTGAATGTACAAAATCCAGAACGTAAAGTTTCCTATTTTGGCATGTTAGTTTTTTTAACAAAATGGAATATAGTCTCATTGGGGATTCGATTAATCCTCTATTTTCGTATGTGCCTGTGTATTTGGACACTGCAGAAAGACATAAAATCTTGTTTTAGTTATACTGAGATTCTCACTTAACTAAAATTTTGTATTATATATGTTTACTTTAAAAAAAAATCTTTTTTGTGATAACATTCAATCTGAAATAATAACAATTATAACAATAATAACAGTCTATGAGGATAACCTCAGTATTGATTTATTAATAGCTATAGTAGTACAGTAGTAAGGAGGCTTAATGTCTGAGTGGGGACCTATTTATAGACACCATCTTAATTTGTTGAAAACAATGTCTAGTTATTTCATTATCTAACAATTAACATCAGTAACACATGCCGCTATAGAAAGAAACGATACTGCTAATTAATATGACTTGGGTGTTCAGAAAACTAAAACATTAAAGCTAAGAAAAATCAAAGTCGATGACACAGATTCCTTGCCCGTATGCATCATGTCACTTGAATTCTTGCCAAGACTGCCTCACTCGGACTTTACAGTGTGAAGCCACTGGCCTCTCACCTTCCTTCGCTGCTCTGCACATCAGCTTTCTTAACCGTAGAGCGTGTAGTACCTTCTTTATTCACACTCCAGTTGAGAGCTGAAGGGAGAGAGTGGAAATCACTGATTAAAAGAAAACAATGTTATATAGTCAGGCTGGCGGGAAAACTGCTACAATTTTAAAACGCAGTGATGTTATGGGAGAGTACCTACTGTCTACCTTAATGCTTGAGACGCGACATTTTTTCAGCAAAATTGTGTGAGCGCTAACAACAGGTAGGGTCAGAGCCTAAGCATTGGCGTCTGGATGCCTGGCCTTGCAGCCACTCTTCCTCTTAAATCTGCAAGACCTGAGTTAGTGGGTTACCTCTCTGTGCCTCAGGCTCTTCGTTTATAGTATTGAGATAACAAACAGTAGCCACTTATGGACTAACAGAGATAAATAGTACTTACTTACGTATTAAGTGAGATCATACATATAAAGTGCATAGAATGGGGCCCAGTAAACGCTCAATGAATGTTTTTGCTATGATTTACTTTCTATGGGCACAGTATGATGCTGATCGATACTGTAGACGAATTTCTGACCTCACTGAGCTCATGGTTGATCAGGAAATTCAGAGAAGCACAAAGGCAACTTTCATGTGGTGGGATATTAAAGAGGACAATCAAACTCTTCTTTAAGGCCTGGGGTGGGGTTAGGCAAGACTTCCTGTGGAAGTGACGTCTAAGCTGAAAGGTTAACGAAGTCAGAAGGTGGTGATCTTCTGATCATGGTAGACCTATGGTGTCCAAGAGAACTCTCTTGCAGCGATGGACCTCTGTAGCTGTGCTGTCCAATATGATGGCCACTAGCCACATACAACAAGTGAGTGCTTGAAATATGGCTAACGCACAGGAGAAACTAAATTTTTGGTGTTATTTGCTTTTATTTTTTATTTAGGTTTAAATAGCCACGTGAGCCCAGTGGCTAATATGTTGGGCAGCACAGCACTAGACAGAGAGAAAAACACATGTGAGGATCCAGAGGTGAGGGGGTTCTTAAATATTGAAGACCTGATATTTTGAAGAGCAGATTTATGAAGGATGAGACTTTGGAAATTAGCAGAGGCAATGCATGGCTTACTAAAATGTTCAGGCTTTTCCTGAGGGCAGTGAAAGCTGTTGAACAATAGTAAGAAGGGTGAAATGATGTGATTTGCGCGTTACTAAAATCACTCCAGCTGTAGCATAATAATAGCTTGAATTATCAGCGCCTTATTATTTAGAAACTTTTCCAATAACCTGACCTCATTTAATCTTGCAATCAACTATATAAGATATATTTCTATCTTCTTTTATATATCTTTACTTACTTTATCTTCACCTCAGCAACCTATGTGCGTACACTACACCCTCACAGAAGACAAACTTGATAAAAGTACGACATTCACATGATATTTGTGCACAGATTCACGTGTGAGAACCTTCCATAAATCAGTTTGGAAAACAGCAGCAGGTTACTTCCAAAGAAATGTTTGAGAATCTTTTTCCCAAATGTGACCTGCCTTTGGAGGTCCAAATCCATCTGGCCGTGGTCCCATGGGCCACCCACCACTCCCAGCACATTAGTTATCTTCTCTTGCCATTGGTGGTGATGGCGCTGAGCTTCCTCCTGCACACAGGGGGAGTGATGAGGGATGAGCCTGCTCACCCCGCTTCACAAGTACTTCCTTTCACTCACACATCCATATGCATCCTCTCCTCCCAGATGAGCTGAAACGAGAACTGGGCTCGACAAGCAAGGATATCCACAGCAATATGCTGACAGTCCGCGCTTGCTGACCTGACTCGCCATGTCAGGTCTGAGAAGATAAAAGATGGCGTCTTTCCAAGTGGAAATGAGGAATGAGCACAGCCACTCCACGCTGGAGCCAGCTCCTCTTTCTGTGACACACACGCAACTCTCACTCGGCAATTCCCTCAGTAAGAACATTTCAAAAAAACACCAACATCTAATTTGATTAGATCAAGTCATTTTCTTTTTTAAAGAAGGATTATTAATAAAATCACACTTCCTTAAAAAAAAAAAGACAGGGAATGTAAATGCTGCGCTAATTTAATTACACACTGGCTCTGTAAGACACTAATGTAAATATTCTGGTGAGTAGGCCTAAGACACTTGAAGCAATTACTTAAGGACTCCCTTTCAAAGAATCTCTCCCTTTTTTATTAAATGCCTTTTAACATTAGCACTTTCTTCCTGACAAATTAAATGAAATTTCATTACTCTCCCTGACTTAATGGCGTGAGGCTCCCGCTGAGGTGTGAGTTAACCCTCCCCGGACAGCTGACAAGGGCTCCTCGTTCAGTCAAAATGCCAGTGTCCTGTCGCACAAGAGAACGGAGGCCTCGAAGAATCCTTTGTGTGTTTACCAGAGCGTCCAGATTCCTTCATTTTGTTGATGTTATTTCAGGTGCGATCCTTACAAAAACCTAAGAAACCAGTAGTATGGTTGTTTTCCAGTGTTCTCAAGTTCATAGCAAGAAAAAAAAAAAGTGTCATCCACCAAGACCCTAATAATGGCCAAAACGAGGACAATAACAAAATAACAATAGCAAACAGTTATATAGTATTTATTAAATATCTTCTAAGCAATTTACCTCTTTTAACTCATTTAAGCCCTCACAAAATTACTCTATGGGAAATACTATTATATTCCCACTCTGAGATGAGAAAATTAAAATGCGGAGTAGTTAAGCAATTTACCCAGGGTCACACAGCTGATAAGCAGCAGAGCTGCGATGCAACTCACTCAGCCAGCCATTATCACACACTTTTATATACACAGTTACTGAATCCTCAAGCCAGAATAGACACAGAATTACTTCCAGATCGCTTTTTGCTTTTGTGCAAACTGAGACTCAGAGATATTATGAAAAAAGTCCAAGATCCTGCAGCTCGTCTGGATCCATGATGTCTTCTCAGGCAGGTCTTTGAAAGAATTGAGTTTCAGAACTAAGTCCCAAAAGGTGGTCCCTGAAAAATTTTATTTCTAGACCTGCATATTAAACCTATTAAGGAAAAAAAAATAATATAGTAATTTAATTCTGAAAGACAAAAAAAGAAACAAATTACTTATAAGGTTGAATTTATTTTTGATATCTTAGGAATCAAGTTAGAAAATTACAGAATAACCACTCAGGAACTGTGGAGCTGAGGTCCTTGTCCTAAAGGTCTCAATATGAACTAAGGATAAATTTTTATTCATTTTTGTGGAAACAATCAAGAAAGGCTTTTCAGAACTAACCGTGCCGAAGTGGCTCTGTTTTGAGAGAGAAATTGTGGTCGAGGCTACGCCAGAGGGAGAATCCTGAGATCAGCTTGATGCTGATAAGAATGATTAGGGATGGGCTCCTTAATGGGTGTCTCCCGCATTTTTTATTTTGCTCTGTTTTTCAGAAGAAATGGTCATATTTTCTGCCCACCAAGTTTTGCCTCTAATCTTTTTGAAGACTACTTGTTTTTTCTTGTTTAGACCTAACTTTTGCTTCTCAGCTTTATTTTGGGTTTCAGCATATTCTATCTTCCATAGTGTCAACACATTCTGAGGTCTGACTGCACAGATTCATGAGGAGAGAACATTCTATCTGGTCAACTTTGAATTGTAAGAGACTTGGCCAATTTTTAATGAGAACGCATTATGATTTGGTTTCCTTTCTCTATTTGACCCCCTGATATTTCTCTTTGGCTGAAACTGCTTTCTCTAAGCACAATCCTTTTTCCTGTCCATGTCACCAGTAGCTCGAACTTGCCGATGTCATGTTCCATCTTACCAAAAGGGTGTCCTTTCTAAGACCCCAGGCCATGTGGAAGAAAAATAATCAGCTCAAAGTTCAGAAGACAAATGTTGCAGGGGGATTTTTTCCTCCTCTTGGTTGTTCTTAAACACATGTCGTTCGAAGGATCAGTATGTCAGTGTTTTGAAAGAAGCAAAGACTTGAATTTATTTTGGTGCCGCTATCAGATTTTGAGGAGCTGGATCATTTGTTTTCCTCTTGTGAGGTCCAGGTAAAAGTTCATTCCCTCCATGGCCGGGTGCTTCTGACAAACAAAAATCAAGGACCCAAAATAAGTATTTTATCTAAAAAATGTGAACTATCCCAAAACAAACATGAAAAGGCACAGCTGCCAAATTCCACAAGTAAAAAGAGTTGGAGGTTGAGACAGCTCAGAAACTCGCTGGGGAGTAATGGGTAAAGTTTGGCCAGCTGCCCTCAAGGCCTTGAGGGACACTCAATCCAATTGCCGTGTCTTAGCGGATGTGAATTTCAAGGTTACACCTGGGTGTTCAAGGGCAGGGCCAAGTGTAATCGGCACTTAGATCATAGATTAATCTTATTTGCCATCTATTAGGTTTGATTCTTCTTCCCTCTCTCCCTCCCTAAAGCCAGGATTATTGTGATAGTTTAAGATAATGGATTCTAACGGAAGAAAGGTCACGCAGGCATGGAGATTTGGAACCTTAAGATAATATGATTAATCTAAAAGCTTCTTTCTCAAAGGAGGGGGGGCACACTCTTCATATGTCTAATTGAGAGAGGAGAGCTGAAAGACTGAGAAAGAGCTACAGAAAAGGGAGCACAGAGGAACCGAGTCCTTGTCAACAACTGCAATTAATTATCATTGTCAGGATGATCTTTCATTAGTTTTCACACTAATAAGATAGAATTGCCTCATGCTTGAAGCTGATAAAACCTTATTGGCAATGTTGATAAGACGATGTCAGTATGGAGAGCCATTCACGGACATCTTCATTTTATTTTATTTTTCTAATTTTCTGAAACTAAATGACTTGATGGATATTGCTAAAAGTAACTCAATCTCGGTGGTTGGGACCATGGTAGGCAGGAAAAGTCCTTAACCCAGTGGTCAGCTAATGTAAGCAGTAGGTAAATGTTAACTGTTATAAATGCTACAAACACATGAGTACACGTGATTTTAAGATGTTTAATCCTATCCCTTTTAGATATTTCAAGATACCCTAACCAACATGGAGAGGTCCATAGAAAGAAAGTAAGAATGGTATTTATTTATTAATCATGATGACTCAAGAAAAGAAACTATTAGTCTTGATCCATCTGCAAGAAAATTGGAACTCAAATGTGGATTTTTCTACTCTTATTTTTTCCCATTCTTCTAGGACAGAAACTGTTTTGTTTTAGTCTTTATTTATTGTAACCGCCAAATAGTTTCATCATTGTGGCTCACTGTTATTTCTGGGTTATTTAAAATGTGTAGAAACATTTACATATTCCTTTGCTTTATATATATAATTTGCTTGATATTCACGTATATATAATTTTCGGCATATACATATATATCATAAAACCACTTCTACTAAATTCAACTTACCCTGTTTTCCTCACTTCTTTTAACTAAGTAAAAAATGTGCTGTTAGATTGTTTAAGGCAAATAACAGAGGAGAAGGATAGCCCTCTAGCGGGGCTGACTCCCTCCAATAGGCTCAGATTTGTAGCCCTAGGGAGAGTAATAAGAGATTTTAATTTGTAATTTCATAAACAGTGTCTTCCTTTTACCAAATGGAGCTTCCTTGATTCATTCAGAAGGAAAAAAAGCAGGCAATGTGGTGTTTCTTTAACCAAGATGACAGATGGAATAGGAGAGGAAACCATTCGTGGACATAAGGGACCCAAAGCAAGGAAGGCGTGCACAGTGGCACTGCAATTAGGATGTGAGATATGGCCGCTTAATACAACCTGTGAGATAATAATATACGTCCATCATCATTCGTTGGGATTCTCAAGACTCTGAAGAGTATTAAAGCTGTATGAAATAATTACTTGATACGTAACATGTAGCCTAGCATCAAAACCAGATGCAACATGAGTGGAAGTGTTTGTGTTCAAATCAGACTAACAGACAATCATTTCAAGATGAAGTAGAGAGAAGCTAGAATAAATTGATGTCGAACATATGGAAAAATAAAACAGATCCCTCTGGGTGAAACTTCCTTTTACTGAAATTTTGAAACTTCTCACTAAATACTGCTGTAATTCATTGACTTCCCAACTTAAAAACATAGCAGTCACAAATTCATTCTGTAGCTCCGGGAGAGAAAAAGCTATTTGTAATTTCTGGAACAAAAAATCACTTTTCCGTTCTCTAAAACAAAAGTTGATTTTTTTCTAAAAATCTACTTTTAAAAATGTGTAAAACAGATCATTTGAGAGTATGAAAAGATGGAATATGTGGATTCAAATACTGACTCAGAGAAATTAGTCAATTCTCAACCATTTGTTAAGAGTAGTTGAGACTGAAATGTTCCAAATTAACTTGCGATATCAGTTCTTAAATGTTTTGTTCAATTTCAGGTTTAATAATTGGAAAGAGAAATAAATAATGTGTGCCCTATCCTATTTCTCTTTTCAGAGTGACCATCACAAACACACCAAAGCAAAAATGAAACCAATACCGCCTTTGCCCACTCAGTTTATTCTGAGCTGGAGTATTCCAGGAAAACTAGCTGGACCCCTGTCCTTAATAATCCTTCCTACCCTAATCTCATTCCCACTTTCTGATCTTCTGTATCCTCAGAAAGAGGTGTTGGCATTCGGCAAGCCCCATACATCAAAGCTTTACCTAATATATGATGTGTTTATTCTTCCCAGGCCACAGGCCAGCTCACTCTCAAATGACTGACAACAAGTCTAAAATGAAGTGGGCCTGAGGTGGGCTCTAATAGTTATGGGAAGCTTCTCTAGTCAAACATAAAGCAAATTAATGTGAGCCCCTCCTGCACCTTCAGCCTGGAAATGTCATAAAGTAATAAGCGGGGAGACCCTCGCAGTGTGGAGGGCTGGATTTCAATAGATTTACATATTAAAGGTACAGGACGCATTTCACATGCTTTAACATCAAACGTAGAAGTTTCTAAATCCTAAATTCTATATTTTAAAAGTCAGGCCTTACTGTAGGCTGAAGGTGCAGATGAGTAATGACACAAATGCAATTATGCATCCATCTCATTCACTATAATGTAGTTTTAAAGAATGAAATAAAGCGAAGACTTAGGAATAATTTGTATGGTTATGCGTTACCAGCATTTATATGGTGTCAGAAGGTGTGTATGTGTGTATGTATGTCTTAAGAAAGTGGTGTAGAAAAACAGAAAAACAAAGAAGAGAATACAGAAAGGTACAGTGTGAATTGACAATACGTTTTTAGATTTTTATATAATTCTAATTTTACCTCACTCCACCAGTGCTGGGGAGAGTGCTCCCCTCCCCACCAAATGTGATGGACTCAATGATTGATATCGTTTAGGAGACTTACAAAAACAAACTTGTAATTTTTATTAATCTTTGAACCTCTAATATCCTCAATGTAGCACAAAGCCATCTATTCTGTGATGAGATGGCTACAGAACGAATACAACTTCTTATCCCTGATTCTCAGCTTTCTCTGGTAAATTCCCTTGTTCCCCGGTTATGTTTGGTCTGGCTTTCCTATCATGTCCGCAATCAGACCAACCAGGTGAGTTAGCAGTATGCAAAGCGAACCCAAGACATACATACACATACACACATGCATTCTTTCTCTCTCTTTCATACACACGCAGACACACGCACACAATTTTTGATTATTTCTTCTGGAAGCAATAAAAACATACCTGAGCACTGCGCTTAAAATTGGTAATTCAAAGGAGCACACAACCAAATTTTTCTGTTCTTTTGTTTTTCAGTTGCGACTAGGATGTCCTAGAAGAATTATTTATGTCAAATGTTTTGAGTCAGTTTGCAAATAAATTGCAATGTAAGGTTTCTTCTGAATGAAAATAAGGCCATTTATCTCTTATTGAAGAAACCGAGAAGGGTTTTCAAACCCTGATCATTTTAAGGAAGAAAAGAAAGAGCTGTGGAACATATATTCTTTTAAAAAGTTTTAAACACTTAGTAATTTATCCCCAGAAGCTTTCATTATTTGGGATTTTTTTCCCTTTTTCTTTCTTTATTTCTACTTTTTTTCCCAATTCCCTCAGAGCTTAGGCTTAATAAGAAGCAAAAGGAAGTAAAATGCAGTTTCTAAGAAAACCTTTCAAAACTCAAAGCCAAACAGTTGCATCAAAGTATGAAAACAAAACAAAACTGCACCTGGCATAGAATATATTTTAATAAAGGATTACTCCTATTTTCTTAATTTTTCTTCTTTTTTAGATGATTAGCTTTACTTAAAAGCTTATGAGATTATTGTTTATGAAATTCAAAGAAAACCTCTCTCTCATTTCTGACATTTTTAGAAACTGAAAGATTTTACTATCATTTGTGTGTGTTCATTGTGTATGTGTGTTTGGTCAAGCGATAATTTTGATCCCCGGAACCCAGTATATTCGTTCTTTTGTAGGACGATACGTCGGCATCCTGTTAATTACACATTTAAACGAGTGTTTTCTATAAAATAGTTTCTCATTTTCTTTATAGAAAATAAAATAAAAATAGAAAACAGTTCCTTCCATATGCCACAATAAGTAAACTCTGCTGTTGTCACTTGGCTTACGATTTTTGTGTTTTCATTAATTTTATTAATTTTGTATTTCTTTGAGAAAGCATTTCTGCTGTTATATTTAATAAGAACTTTCCCTGTGAAAAGAACGTTTATTTAAGATCTTAATAAAAACTTGGCCTGACAAAGGGAACATGTGTTAAATATTTATGCCTTTAAAACAAAACTCATCTTGTCTTGTTTGTGAGTCATCTTAAAAATTTAGAACACCAAGAGGGTTAAACAAAAGAAAATCTTTTCAATACACCAAATTGTTTAACGAAGCGTTCCTGAAGTGTCACTGCAATAATATTTAATGGCATGCATGGTCGTTCTAAGGTGCTGTGCTGTATACATCTAGTTTCAAAATGTCCTAATTAGATGAAATCCTAGAATTGATATTTGAAAAGAAACTCGTAAGACTTTGCCTATTAATAGAAATAAAAGCCTGGAGCTGAACACTAAGGAACCTTAAAAGTCAAAAGATCCTTCTACCTTCAAGCCCCACGAGGAGAAAAATGATCAGAATCCAAGATGACCTT